CCACAGTAAAACGATCACTGGTACAATTGGTTATAATAATGATTGTTTCCATTAAATCAATCGCGTTCTCTTGATAAAAGTAGGTCACTACAGTTACATGCCATTGTTGAATTTAACAAAACTACTAAGTGTTATTTAATTTATAGTGCTTTTGGTAAACAGTTCTTGTATGACTATTGTAAGATACACTTATCTGATTATTCTTTGACCTATTTAGTCGTCTTAGGTCACTCAGAAATCGTGATTTGTAAAATATATCACTTATGTAATCATGAGTAATAGTACCGTTTTAAAGATGAATTCTCTTGGCATTTTCGCATAATTCATTCGGTCAGTTTCAATTCTCGAGCACATTTTTGACGATCATTGCGTTCTATTAACATTAAACTATCATAAAGTTTAGTGTACAAAGTAACTAATTTATCAAATACACATTTGTGTAATTGAAGTTGAACAACACTTTTTTAAGTATTAATGATACTTTTCAAGTGACAAGATGTGATATCGGTGAAGCTAAACGAAGATGGAAGTAGGATACCACCGAATGATGGTAGTACAGTAGTTAGAATTGACTGATTTTAGAAATACAGCTATTAGATACGGGCTGTGGTTAAAAATTGACGGACACGCACAAAGCCTGATACCGTTGATGGGGTTTTGTCAGAGAACTATTGAGAAGTTTGTTATTTGGATTAATAAGCGGTTCAATACTCATTAACCTTCAACGACATCCAAACCAACTGCGATATATGACAGGAATGAACTAACACCTAAGGCCAAATCACCGATTGAAACGCCTTTGTTTGTAACAGATAATTTACGACTCATGAATCTAAGTTTTCATCAGGATTCTAGACCATATTATGGACCGATTGTGACTGGCTGCTAACTTCTCACTGGTCTTTCCAGAAAACGAATATCTCAATGTTCCTGTCGTGAATTTATTATTTCGTTTTAAGAGGAGAGTTCCTATGATTAATTACCGTTAATTAATAGTGTAAATTAGGTGATCAATATCTTCATATAACATACGTATTAAATTTCTATGATGGCAGTATTTATTTGTTTGGACACATAAATATTGGTACAAAAGGGCACCAAATACATATGTCACCCAAGTCACTATATTTGTGTGTGGGCTATGATACTCTGCTCAGATGCCCAGACCGAACAAGGCGGTTTTATTTGGGGAGTCACACTCGGAGCCTTAGGCCTATAGGTCTGATCCACAAGGCAGTGGGACAACGTCAGGAGATGCAATCCTTTGATAGCTGGTAGCCAACTATTGGCTAATACGACATTCGTCCCCTCAAAATCCTGGAGCCCATGTACATCATTGGTTTGGAATCAGAGTTGTTCTACTCTCATAGGTGGATCCTCTATATCCACCAACCCGCTTAAAGCGCCGGACATTCACTTTTCATCCTCTCAATTTCGTAAACAACACCCATGATGAGAGGAAGCAGTGAGTAGTACTTCACTCTCAGTGGTTGTACGCACGTGGTCATGTGAGAGCATCTCGAGAGAGGGAGCTAACTCTCCCCACCCTCGGCCGTACCAAGGCATTTGGGGGCCAATTTTATAGGAATAGGTTTCAGGTATGAATAGTTGCCCAACCATAAACGCGTCAACAGGTAAAAAGTATATCCACATGGCAATGATAAATCAAAAGAAACTATCATTTTCTTGTCAACTGGTGTAGCCATATGTGTACACATATTCTCTTCTTATTTAACTAATTAGACTGCACTATGGGTTTTAACAGTCAGAAAGATACTGGGTCACAACATGCTATTCATTAATTTGCACACATAGCAGAATCTACTTTGATACAAAAGCATATCAAGAATGGGTGACCTAAATAAGGCAATAATTTGTGAAGAAAAACATGAGAGAACGACGTTAGAGATGATAAATATATGAGCAGAGGTAGTATTTAATGAGTGATAATGTCTTGTTAGACATACAGACCAATCTCTTATGTACAATGCTTACATGTTATAGTGAATCACTGTGTCCATGTATTTTAAACTAATTTGGATGAACTCCCTTCTTCCACCATGAAATCTCCATATCTACTTATTTACAATTGACTATGCGTCCTGTCCAGGAGCATCACCTCACACAACTTAAGTATAAAGACTGAAATTCATTCATATAGGCTTGAATTAACTTGAAACTATGTTTACTAGGACATATTTAAAGCTGTTCTTTGTTCGCTTAAGCAATCCGCATACATAAATGATGACACGAGACTATAATTCAAGTCACCTATTTATTAAAAGAACTAGATAAATCAATATCTTTATTGTTCACGATGTATCGTCGGCAAGTTAAGAGGTAGTACAATGTATGTAACACAAAGTATTTCGTTACCCAGTAAGCTATTTGCAGTACTGTGTGTATACATCCGTTTTGTAGAGACACGGTATCATAGTAACTACTTAAATAATGAAGGTCGGGGGGAGGGTTGGTAGCGAAACCCTAAGCCACTTAGTTCCAGAATGTGCTGCATGATACATCTGGTATTATATCAGGATGATATTAAGGGCAATCTAAGACTAGATAATGTCTTCATCGAATACAAATTCATTAGGATAGCTAGAAGTTAAATTTTTATTTTGCTGAACAACTGCAAGCCCTAATACCGTTGACAGTGACTTCCAAGTATTTATTCAGAAACTAGTTTAGACAGCAACAATCCGTTGACATTGAATATTCTCTTGTCTGCAACCCTTCCCCTTCAAGGCCAATAGGTTTTTTTTAGATAAAATCCCAAGTTGGTAGAAACCTAGTCAAATATAATACGATACTTGGGGTGCAGACTGAATGATCAACTTTGCATTTCTACACTGTATAACTGACATCTCTTTATGGAACTACTTATTGGTCCTAGTAACGTAACACCCAATCATATATATTCAACGAGAAAGCCTGGACTCAATATGAAGGGACACCACTGACTCTACTGATAAAACATTCAAGAAGCTGGTTCAAAAACAATCCTGGCTACAATGACGAATATCACCATTTCATATAGTTTATGTAGTAAGTGTTTGAGTCCATTCAAACAAGCTTAGATGGTTTTTTCATTGTTGTTTAATTTTAGGAATTGTCAGTTAGTGTAGTACACTAGTAGACCGGCTTGCAAGCAGTTATCACACAGTCGTATTGCATTACCAAAATATAATATTGAATAAAGCCATTAATAATAATAATTAACCGACTAGTATTTTACTACTCGTTGTTTTTAACTTAAGTCACATTTAAAACAATCAAAACCAATAATAACAATATCAATCGTATTTGTATTAGTGATACTACTGAAGGGGACACGAAACCCTTAGCTGAAACATTAATGAATAACAGTTATTCATGGAGATTTATAAACCGTTGGAAAGGTAGCAATACGATGAGATCTGTGACATTTTTGGAGCCTAAAAATCGAGCCTATATTATCTTGCCATTTAGAGGTGAACCAAATAGTCTCATGTTCAAACGAAGACCTAAATTAGCTACTAATAGGACATTTTGTGCAGTCCAGCACATCATTATCAAAAGGTCAAGGTCCGTGCTTCACCAGAGACCCAAACAGCATGTAAGTGATTGTGTAACATCCCATTGTCTATCAATTTACATGTGTGCGTAGAAGTATGTACATAGGAAGGAACGGTCGTAAGCCGCAAGTAGGGGTGGCAGAACACATACCTAAGTTTCCACAAACACAAAAGAATCCCAATGATCAAATAAGATCACAGGATAGACAAATATCTTCCCCCACTGAGAAACACTTGGTTGAGACAGGTAATAAAGTTGATATCAAGTTAACCTTTGTAGTTTTGTACACTAAGTTTTGTTGAAGCCTTGGTTATACGTAAATTAAACCCCCCTTTATGTGTCTAAAAACAATTTGTTTTTATCCTTAACCTACCTTGGTAATACTGACTTACTACACAGCGTGGTTTTCACATTGTTCTCGTGTACTTAATTATTATCATCTTTGTCTCTCCTTACCGTTTAATTTGTCTAGTTGACCTTATATTTCTCATACATGATGTCTTAACAAGTATATGTGCGATCAGATTGTCAGAAACACATTGCACAAATGTATCACGAAATTCTGATAACCTTCGTCTTTTCATAGCATTATCCAAATTCATAGAATACATGTACCTCAATGACCTAGTTGAGATCCCTCCGATAGTGTGGGCTAAACTGGTTATAAAAGCCATTATATAACGGATCAACTTTTTGATACAATTTTTTAACCGAAAATTTAGTGATTAAAGGTTAATTGTTTAAAGCGCAGAACAGTAATTTGCATTGAGGGTCATTATAATAGTGGGACGATCAATTAGCCTCCACTATAAGCTCATGAGCAAATGTACGTTCTAAATATATAGTCAGAAGTCGGACAGGCTAACGATTTATAATTTTATGTAACATATTCTTATCACTCACATTTGGTACAATTAGTGAATTATTAGACAAGTTATCATTTTTCATGATCAGTGTGCATCTACACGAATTCGTGGAGAATCGCGTTAAATAAAGGTACAGTGAGGCTGAGTATACCTACCAACTAAAATCGATACATGACATTTAGAACATGAAAATCCACAGTCACAAAATATCCCTCGAAAGAGACAGCTTGAAGTGTACTTTAATAAAATATCCAACTAAAATTAGCACTAGGTTGACCCCTAAAAACGCGACGAATATGATGGATTAGGAGAAAACAGAGCTGTTGTTCCGTGGCCCAGAAACTAGTTTCCAACTAAAGTCACAAGTAAGAAGTTTACCACGACTACCACAGATTAGCGTTTCACAGTGAAGCTCTGCATCACAAAAGAAAACTTATATACTTCCCGAGTACCAAACTGTAAAGAAAACCAATAAATACAAGTAATTGAAATGAAGCTGTAAAAATTTGTGACAACCACCGTATTGTTAGGTAAATATCAACGACAAGAACATATCTATAGGAGATAAAACTCAGATTTTATAAATAATCTAGTTTACTTCTTAAAATACTGACAACAAATTAAAAAGGAGCAAAAATTAATTTTTACAGCTTATATGTACATATTTACACAAGTTCCGCGGTTAAGGAAACACGATTGGGAAGTATTTACTTGAATGACTGTATAGTATATGGGCTGGCAATAGGTTGGAAATAATCAGAAGGACAACGACACACTAGTTTACAACAACGCAGATCCCTCAGTACATCTTCTTCCATACCTATAAAACTAAGAAGTAAGAAAAAACCAAATAACCTATTATATAATCTGATGGTCGAAATTCTTCATCCCTGCAACCCGAAGTTGGGATCAACCAAGTTAAGAAGCAGCAACTATCACCAACCAAATCAGTGGCCAGTCCTGATACTTACATCAATAAAGACTTATTACCTCTTATTTGGGCATAGAAAACTTCACCATCAACATCCAATAGCGAAACTATATCGCCCACATGATACCAAACATTCTAGAAATAAGACATTACTAAGATTAAAGCAACCTCATGGTAGACACAATTGCGAAGGCTAATAAGAGCTGGAGGGTTTCCCAATTTTTGCGTCTGGTGGACACTAAGAAATCAATATACAAATTACCTCTCTTTTAAGTACATGACGTCGGGAACGTGATTTTTGTGCGGTTCCTTTACCATTGTAGTTACCATACAATCCTCTACTTCTGTTTGATAAAACTCTAGATCTCATAGATTTCCTTGTTTGAGATGCTGGTTTTATTTTCGGCAGACCAGAAACAAGACTGGATTCACTTCCAAGCTTTTTACATCGAGTCCTTGTTAGTGTTCGAACAGACGTCTGGGAAGTTCCATCGGAATTAGACGCCTCTGATATATCTGGAACACCTACTAGGTAAACTAGAGTATAGTAAGTACTTCGAGCTTCCATATCGGCATCAGCAGCAACCTTCTGGCTATCAAGACACTGGAGCATAATAAAAATATAGTACCGCAGTTGTTGAAAAATCACGATCCAGCTTCGTCAATTTTCAGTCTTTGGAAGAGACACTACGAAACTCAATTACATTTTAGAGGAACTAAAATACATTGAAAAAATTAAATGTCTTCATTACGATCGAGCGTAAATCAACGAATTTTTTCACTCACGAGTCTTGATGTTGAAGAACACTGAAAGTCATAACAGATCAGGTGAAATTGAGTTTGTTCACAATCAATTCAATCAAGTCATTTTATTAACTGAATAACGAACTGAGTCATCCGAACAACAACTTATCTCTATCATTGTATCTTCAATACTATTGTGAATGTATGAACATATAGTGACTTACTTTTATCACGAGAACACGATTGGTTTAATGAAAACAATTATTATTACCAGTGACTGTTTTAATGTGCTCTTTGTTTAACCGTGCTGAAAACATCCATTATACTTACTTCGATTGTGACCTCGCGAGAATCGGGTTACGCTCAGTAACCAAGCTTGTATCCTGGCACGACCTCGGTATCCTTTCGATACCACGAGATCGCCAGCAAATATATCTCGACTTGGTCCATTAACTGCCTTCTGATATTTGGCTTCCGAGGGGTTTTGTCGATATCCTGACACGCGTTCCTTTGTGGTGGTATTCATAGTCAATCTCGACTCGACTCCACGCTACAACTGGTGAGTCGAATTCTGGAACACTCCGTAACCTCTGATCCAATCGCCCAAAGAAGTCAATTTGGTGAGTCTATTGTTAATCTACCCACGTCTGTCGTATATTTTCATATTATTTTTTAATATATAATATACTCGACATGATGGATAACGATAGGAATAGTATTGATATAATAGACTCCCATGTATGTGTACCGAATCTTTGTCATGAAAAGACCTTCAAGGTTGATCGACATGGCTGCGTCGAGATCGTCAGCACTGATCGTCCCAAACGAGCACACGTCGATGACAGTGCCCTATCTGATAACTCGAGACTTAATACTAGGCCTATCAAACCTACTAGCGGGATCCTTAAATCTTCTTCAGGTCCAGCGCTAGATACATCCGAGACCTCATTCTCACGTCCCGGTCAACAGCACACGTCATCTGCACCATTTACGGGCGAGACTTCAGTCTCACGTCCAGATCAGAAGGCCACGCCGCCTTTGACTTCGGATGAGATTGCAGGCTCACGAAATACGAACGGGACTACTGTCTCACGTTCCGGTCGCCAAGTGAGGTTACCCACACGTTTCCCCGACTAGCCGCACAGTCAACAACGGATACGGTGTAGGACTATTCCTATACTACATGCATGCTACACTCTTTTTTCTTTTTGATTTTTTTCTGTATCCTGAGCCCACGCCTCCGACCATCCCCATTTGGTACCGTTGACTTCAGTCAATTTTGGCGAAAGCTGGACTGGCCACCCACGCTCTTGTCAACGCACTCAGTCGATATTTTGGTTTCAAATGTTTGGCATCCGTTTGGTCTCGAACTTGATCGTTATGGTCGCTTCTGGCTTCTCGGCTCAACGTGGTTTCTTCTTAATGCCCTTTTTGTAATATCGTTGCTTGTGTTGTACGATCATAAGAGTGGCCATAGTGCCTGGATAAAAGAATACAGTGATCCACATTACATACGTATTAACCGCATGCTGTGACTTTGATATAAGCTAAGATATTACGCTTCACGCCAAACATGAGTAAGCTGCCAATCATCGATGTAGACCGCCTACGTTGGTAATCTACATCCACCGAGTCCGTATATGTCCAGGACTACTATCTTTTCTGAATTTCAATATGGCTTTTTATCCTGTAGAATATTAAATGCTAACCTGAAATAGTTACGCACTATCACTCAAAACAGAAAGCCTGTTTCAAATTCCTGCTAAACTTTTCCCAGACATCCTATACAATGGATCGTAAACTACCATAATTAAAACTAAAGTATAAGGGTACTGGTGAGTGTTTGCTTATTTGGTCACATGGTTATCAATTTCACCAAGAGGCTGCAATTGGGCGGAGTTGTTTCCTTTTTGCAAAGTATCTGTCATTAAAATGGGGGTCCCATGAAATCCTATACACAGTCAACATTTATTTGACCAGTCTTCTAACTTCTTGAACTACTTGAACTTCTAGATATTTGTTCTGCATGAATTATTTTAATATTTTCCAGGTGGTACGAGGTCCAGCGCCATTCAGAGAAATTTAAACATGAAGAGGAAACTAAAATCGTATTTGTGTAATATATTAGTAAATGCTTAATCCTATGAATGGATAATTATGGCACACCAAGCTCATATTTTAGGTGTGGTACAATATTCACACGTATTTGAATTATCGTATAAACTAGGAATCCAGAATTAACGCAACTGAATTAAGAAGTAAGACACAAGCACAAACGAATGTATTGTATTTTGAATTTGAAATCAAGCAATCCACAAGTATCAAGGTATCATTAGTTCGTTGAAACACCACATCCGCCACAGCTTAAATTGGAGTCCAGGTGTTTGTAATCAATCGTACGTCTTCTCAAATTCATCCTGAGTTTGTCTGACATTGTATTGCATAAGGATTCTGCATTATCTAGAATGTGCTCATCAGCATTAGAATTAACAACCGAAATCGGAACTAACTCACCTGGTTCCTGAAATTGTATTTGATCTACATGTCGACTGTGTGTACTTAATTCATTGATGTCTAAAATTCGCACCATCGATTTTCCGACGTTCTTCAGAACAACACCCACAGATGGTCGAAGATCATTTCCTCGATAGTGTGTAACTTCTGCAGACTCCAAACATCTCATATTCGACCGAAAAATTCTTCCTTTCAATAGCTTCGCTGGAGTCTCCTTCATCACCGAATGTCTGGCATTTCTATATTGCAATAGAAAGGTATCTACTCCCCTCTTCAGCTCATTAAATGTTGAGGGGGCTATAGAATCAACAGCAGTCTTTAATGTCCTAACAAAATTCTCTGCCTGACCATTAGAACACGGATGTCTGGGAGCAGTAAATAGATGTTTGCACCCTATACCGTTCAACCAGGTAGTGACTGCATCTGCAGCAAAATGAGAGCCAATATCAGTCACTAACACCATAGGAACCCCTTCTCGACTAGACACCTTTCTTAATGCTTGGATTGTAGAATCAGAATTTGGTGAGGTGAAAAAACGTCTGGTCACTTTGAAAAAGAATCAATAACTACCAGAGCATAGTATTTACCTAGAAACGGACCACAGTAGTCAGCATGAATTCTCTGCCAGGCCTCGGAAGATGCTGGCCATGGAGTCCACTTCGAAGGATGATTTTTTAACTGATGACATTTCTCACAATTGTTAGCCGTACGACATATATCTGCACTTATCTATGGCCACCAACACGTGAGCCTTACCAAGGACTTCATTTTCTCAACACCTAAATGTCCACTATGGAGATCTTCAAGAACAGGTTTACGCAATGAAGGAGGAATGACAACACGATCATTTAAACACAGAATACCATCAGGAGTAGTAGATAGCTCATCCCGCTTTGAAAAATAGATAGAAAATCTACGTTTCAAATTAGCATTCCAGCTTTTCCGTATAGCACTGAGTATACATCCAAAATATCTGCGAGTTTCTCTAATGAAATCTGAACGTCTCACTGGTAAAGGTTGCACTACCAAACAGTCCGAAGTATTAATAGGTCTATCTTGTAATGACTATCGAGATATGTAGTCAACATGTTGAATCTGTATGGCACTTCTGTGCTGAACCGTATAGTCATATGCACTCAAAGCAATACTCCATCGCTGAACCATAGCTGCTGAGGAACGTGCTAAAGATTTTTCGGGATGATAAATAAACTTTAAAGCTTCATGATCAGTAACAATAGTGAATTTCTTTCCGAATAAATATTTATGAAGTCTTTTAACAGCCCAAAACACAGCTAATGCTTCCCGCTGAGTCTGTGAATATCCTTGTTCAGTAACAGTAAATTTGCGTGAAACACAAATAACTGGACTACCTTCCTGTTCCAAAACTGCACCAATTCCCACAGGTGATGCATCAGTAATAAGCACAGAATGTACATTAGGGGAGTACGTTCGAAGAACAGTATCACTTTAAAGAAACTTCAGTAGACTTCGTAAGCATGACTCTTGTTCCTCACTCCATTTGAATGAATTGGATGTTAAAATATTAAATAAACAATTTGCACGACAATAAAACGGGAATAGTATTGAAGAGCACCTACTAGTGAACGTAATTCTGTAAGATTTTTTGGAGATGGTTCACTTGTCAGTGAAGCTAGTCGTTTCATATCTGGTCTAAAACCATTACCATCAACTAGGTATCCAAGGCATTCAAAACTAGATACACAAAATGAACACTTATTTGGATTCACTGTAATATTCTTCTCAATTAAACGACGCAATAAAGCAATAAGTCTCTGGTCCTGAACTACCTTATTGGAACCATGGACAATGAGATCATCTTGTTAAACTTCAACACCTTCAAGACCACTAACTACTTTATTCATAACTTCCTGAAATATGGCTGGAGAACAACTTAGACCAAATGGAAGGAAATTGTACTTGAACAGACCAAAAGGAGTGTTAATTGTCGTCAAAATAGATGAAGATTGATCTAAAGGAATTTGACGATAAGCATCTTTTAGGTCAACTTTCGAGAACAATTTAGAACCATGAAGTCGATCTAGAATATCTTCAGCCTCTACCGTCGTGCGCGTTTGCTTCAACAAATGGGAGTTAATCTATAGTCACCGTCCGACTTCAGTGACGTAACGGTAGGAGTGCCCTATGCTGAAGATTGAATTGGTTCAATTATGCCTTTCGCACACAAATCGTTTAATGTCTTATGTAATGCTTCTCGAAAACCATAAGGAATTATTAGTCTTTCAAGAAAGACTGGATGACCCTGTACTTGAAGTTTTATCGGCTGAATTTTCATACCTCCACTGCACTTAGCACACATAGCTAGCAAATCTTTGAGTAAAGTATCAGAATTTTTTTAGAAACTAGGAAAGACAACTCCACCTTAAGCCTTTTCAAATTCTTTAAACTTAGTATTGACAGTCTTGTTTCAGTAACTAAAAATTCACAAGGCATGTATGAAGAATTATTATCTCTTATTAGCAATTCACAGCATCCTCGTATGGGCAGTCTGTTTCCAGTAATCGCCAATACTGATACTTCAGCGGGTCATACCACAACGTTAGGATCTAAAGATTTGAAGTTCTTGAATGAAATAA